TAAGATTTACCTTAAATTCAGATAATTAAATAATTTTGAGTTCACTGAGAAAAACAGAGGACATAGGTCGACTTGGATAAAGGATACAAGCCTGTGGCTGCAGCCAGCAGCCCGTTGGGTCAGAAGATGATGTGTCAGTGTGGACTGTGGACTGCCTTGATCTCCCCCGGAAGTCAAACATAAGCGTGGCCATAGCCATGTCCTGGGAGGCCTCTTCTGCCATCACAGTGAAATGGAACTGGCCTGCAGAGCAAACAAGATCTCTCCCCATCTCATCCCTCTAGCCCAGACCAACGTTGTCTGATTGATGGCTTTTTTTCTGTTGTTCTGTTTGTTTGCTTGTTTGGTCTGCAGCCAATGGATATCAAACATATAGTAAAGAAGGAAAAAAGGTGGAAATGGAGGAAGGGTGGTAAGATGAAGGGGCACGACACAGACCTCCCTTTGAGTTGTGTGTGTTCTGACGAGGAACCTGCAGAGAGTCTACCCAGCACAGCAGCTCAACAAATATACCCAGAATCCAGGATGAAGGGGGTAGAATAAAGGTTGCTTTCTGATCCTTCTATACACGTCTTTTAGTTTTTAATATGTGAAGTGAAACAGTTTGGAGAGGATTTCAAACTGTATGAAAATCTGTTTTCCATCCATCTTAATTATTTAAATTTTGTTCTGCACCAGTAAAGTGTTTTTAATTGAAAGTAATAAAATTCACCCCCTTTTTTTTTAACTGTTTCCTCCACATATTAGCTGGAAAAATCAACATAGAGTGACACCTTGTGGTAGTAAAGAGAACTGTTTTCCTTTTATATATTTTACAGCAAGTTTCCTAAATTGAGGTCTGTGAAGAAGGTGCATTATCAACTGGGACAGGATCAATAGGAAATTAAATTGAGCTTAGTCTGTTTAAGTCTTTCATTTACCACATTTAGTGCAATGGGATAGTTAATGGACTGGCAAACTATAAATAGAACATCTTGGTGGTTTTTGTCAACATTGTATGTCTGCATCTCTTCCATAAATCTCTAAATTTTGTGGAGTGCATAAAAATTAGTTCTACTTTGAAAGCCTTTCATTTCAGTGTATCTTTTATTTCTTTTTTATTTTACAGGGGAAAAGAATTTCCACATGATGAGATTATTAGCTAGCTCCATGCTTTCCTGTCTTTCTGATAGTCCATGTGTTTGGGTGAAACATAAAACCAGGCATCTAATGGACACCTAGGTTACATCAGTAACACCACATTATTGAGGGTTATCAGCTGAAACGTCCATCAAAGATGTGAAGAACATTTCTGTCGGGAAGATTTTAGGCTGACCTCTGTAACTACTATGAGATTGCTTTCTATACTGTGAATTATGAGCTGCACCAAACTCATCTATTTAATATTACAAA